CGGGTCTGCGGGGGTGCCATCCTCGGACACTTCAACCTGGGGGCTGGGGCTCCCCTCCCCCACTTCTTTCTCTCGGACACCCCGGACCCTGAGGGCCAGGTGTCTCCTCTCCATCCTTCCTTCTCTCCCCACCACTCCAGGCCCCCAACTCCCGCCCGATCTCCGCTGGGCGCCCCCAGCCGGGAGGCGCTGGGGTCGGGGTTCCCACGGCATCACGTGTGGAGAGGCGGGCAGAGGCCCGCAGGTGGGTGGGGGACACGCATGCGCAGATCAAGCATACCCCCCCCCCCCCGCCCCATTCGGGTCCAGCGGGAGAGTCTGGACCAAGGGGACTAGGTGGGGGCATTCTGCTACCCAGACCCCCATTAAAAGCTCCTTCGCAGACAGCAGAATCGGAACCCGCCGCCACCTTGGCCTGAGGTAGGGGGCGCAGGGAAGGGGTATTTACAAAGGGGCGGCGCCCAGCCAGACCTCAGGATTCGACATGTGAGACTGGGGACCTAGAATGTGGGGTAGTAGAGGAATGGGTCTTTATCCCAGCTTTTTAAATGAGCCTTTCAAACATACGGAAACGCTGGACGAATGGATCGCCTGTGCGCCTGCACCTATGACTGTTAAACTGTTACATTCTCTAGGCGCAGTTTATCTATCCCTGGTGAACCACTAGGCGTGAGCTGCCAGTGCATGACACTCGCTGTTAAATGCTTCCCCATGGTCTCCTGAGCTAGCTGTCTTCCTGCACACCCACAGCCCATCTTTCCATGTACGGAAGTTATCAGGCATCCCAGAGTGTCATTGACCATTGGGCAGAATTCACGTCTCTGCTGGCCTTTTGGAACCAGCACCCTGCAAAGTGATGTTTGCATTTAGTTGTGCCTTTGCTGCCTTTACCAAATCCCCCTCCTCTGGAACAGGTTGAATAGTGTCCTTCCCACATTCATGTCCATTGAACCTGCGGACGTGGCCTCATTTAGAAATAGGGTCTTTGTAGATGTAATCAAGTTAAAATGAGGTCATCCTCGGGTGGGGTGGCTCTAATGCAATGACAGGTGTCTTTATAAGAAGAGGAAAATTTGGACAACAACACAAAGGAATATGGCCTGACGTCAGTGCGAGAAACGCCAGGGGTGTCCCGGCTTTTGACGAGTGCACACCATTTGGCTTCAGACTGGTGTTTGCTCAGGCTGTGCATTTGGGGCAGGAAGCACAGGGGCGTGCTGTATCTCCTCTGTGTTTCGAATCAGGAGGCTGGGGTGCCACTGTGTCCCAATACTCATACTGGAAACTGTGATCACTTAGTGACTGGGGAGAATGGTGTCCCCCAAAATTCATGCCCACTAGAACCTCAGAATGTGAATTTATTTGGAAATAGAGTCTTTGCATATGTTACCAGGTTGAGATGGGATCATACTCTATTAGGAACCCTAAATCTCATATGACTGGTGTCCTTATAAAAAGAGGGAAACTTGGATGTAGATATGCAGGGAGAAGTCCATGTGAAGATGGAGGCAATCACCGGACTGATGTGTCTGCAAATCAAGGATTGCTGGCCACCACCATGGGAAGCTGGAGTAGACAGGAATGGCCCTCTCTGGATTCTTCAATCGGAGCTCAGCCTGGTCAGCACCTCGACTTTGGACGCCTGGCTTCCAGAATTAGAGAGGATACATCCCTGTTGTTCTAAGCTGTCCAGTTTGTGGTGCTTTGTTATGTGGTCCCAGGAAACTAACACCTTGGTTAAGGTGACATTTCTCCCTGGTAAAGTTACCATTTGTTTCCTTTATCTATCTGTATATATAAAAGGCCAAGTGACCTACCGTCCGTCCGTCAGACCAACTGGTACATATGACCCGCACTGGCAATTTAAAAATAAATGTTGACTCAGCATGCGCAATGCATATACAGCTCTCACTGGTGCCAATCACAGGCAACGCCAGAATGTATCTGAAGACCAACTATTGGCACGACATACCTCTGAAGCTGAAAGAAAGCAGCGGCGGCGACAGAATATGGTTTATTTATTAATCAATTTATATATTATTTTCATATACATTTTACTAATTTTCTTTCATCCCTGACACTTCTATTATAAAGGGCAAATAGCGATATTAAAATAGCTTGTTTTTTAATTTATAATACTATATTATATATACTATTTTGACATGTAATTTTTTGCAGTAATGTAATTCCCACATGAATCTTCTAATTAATTTCCTTTCAATGTGCAGGAATCCGTGCACTGGGTCACTAGTAATTAATAAGTATCTGTGGGGATGTACTTTTTTCCTTGGCCAGACTTTAAAATTGAGGGACAACATACATATAGCACAGTGTGTAAGCAAGTCTCAGGTGCATGGAGCCCACACTGAGCTAGACGGCTGCCTGGTGCCCTCCTCGCTGGCACCGCCCACAGCACTCCCATGATCCCAGCTTCTATCACCATAGTTTACCTTAAAAATTGAGGTAAAATTCACATGAAAAATTTAATTATTAATCATCCTAAAGTGTACAATTCTGTGGCATTTATTATATTCACAGGGTTATGCAACCATCACCACTATCTAGTTCCAGAACATTCCATCACCCCCATAGGAAGCCCTGTCTCCATGAACAGTCACCCCCATCATTCGCCCCTTCCAGCTCCTGGCAACCGCAGACCCACTCTCTGTCTCTGTGGATTTGCCTTCTCTGACATTTCATGCCAATGGGATCTTGTGATGCTGCCACGCCGCTCTCCAGTTGTACCAGTTACCCTACAGCAGCCTAGAATTTGGGGGGATGGTTATGGCCATCGTCTGTTGCCCATGCCCCCACCCTTGGCAGCAGTAGGAGCTGCCTGGAAACTGCTGGTCGTTTCCACCTCGTCTGTCCCTCAGCATTTTCTCTTGGAGATCCTGAATTACCTTTCCATGGAAATGGTGATCTAGGCAGGACCACGCTTTTCTGTAATGGATCACAGATAGTCAGTGCTTTGGGCTTCATAGGCCAGACGGTCTCCATCCTGTCTGCTTGCAGGCCCTGTGCTGGGCTCTGGGACACAAAGTGGGCAAGATGACCACCATCCTGGTCCTCCTGGGCTTGTGTTGTAGTGGAACAGAAAAAGAGATTGAACAGATAATTTATTTATTTACTTGTTTTAAATACTAGAGGCCCGATGCACAAAATTCGTGCAAGAGTAGGCCTTCCTTCCCCCTGGCTGCTGGTACCGGCTTCCAACTGGCACCTGGGAGGGCTTCCCTCCAGCCCTGGCTTCTTCTGGAAGGACGTCCGGAATGACGTCTGGTCTAATTAGCATATTACCCTTCTATTATTATAGATATTTTTATTGATTTCAGAGAGGAAGGGAGAGGGAGAAAGAGATAGAAACATCAATGATGAGAGAATCACTGATTGGCCGCCTCCTGTACGCCCCCTACTGGGGATCCAGCCTGCAACCTAGGCATATGCCCTTGACTGGAATCAAGCCCAGGACCTTTCAGTCCGCAGGCCAGCGCTCTATCCACTGAGCCAAACCAGCCAGGGCTGAACAGATAGTTTAATGAGCTTAGAGGAATCAACCAGATTCTGTGGAACAAATTATGTAGAGCCAGGGAGGCCGGCTCTGAGGAGGTGAGGCCGAGTCTGGGGATCGGGAGGAATCAGTATGAAAATAGATGGGAGGGAACAGCAGGTGCAAAGACCCTGAGGCTGGACGTTGCCAAGGACAGAAGGAAGGACTGGAATCCAGCAGGTGCAGGAGAGGAGGCGGAGAGCTCATCTGTCAGCCCCAGCTGGGCTCCTCCGCTGGTTTTATGGGCCCCACCAGTTCACCCCGTTCTTTCTTCCCTTAGTACATGGGCTGCATCGAGGTGCTACGCTCCATGCGATCCCTGGACTTCAATACTCGCACCCAGGTCACCAGGTGAGCCTTCCAGACGGTTGTGGAAGCCGGGATGGTGTTAGGGGTCCAGGAAGCTGGTTTCATTGGCTCTGCCCTTAGCAGAGGTCATCCTCTCAATGCCTGTGGCCACACAGAAGTTGGGGTCTAAGTTCAGGGGTTGTGTTGAATCTGATACCCACAGAGAGAAGCAGCTGAGGAGGGTATCTGCCAGATGCCCAGGAACCCACTTCCATGCCCTGTCCCTTCCTCTTCTCCCCAGGTACCCCAGCACCCCTGCCTCTCTCATCCCCTCCCTCCTCTGAGCCCTCCTCATCTCAGGGTCCACTGCACCCCTTTTTTCAGCCCATTGCCCTCTGACCCCCACTGTTCTCGGAGCTCCTGCCCCTCCCCAGATCCCTCTCCCCAAAGATCTCTAAGCTCCCTTCCCATCCCCCCCACAGGGAGGCCATCAACCGACTCCATGAGGCTGTGCCTGGGGTCCGAGGCTCCTGGAAGAAGAAGGTTGGTGAGGGGCTTGTGGTCTCCGAGTGGGGCTGGAGGGGACATCAAGGCCACGCCCAGCTGGAGCCCCTCTGCAGCCCCCACTGAGAGCCTGGGCCCCCCAACCCTGCAGCCCTGTCCTGCCTGCTCTGTGACCCTGTGTTGCCCCTCCAAGCCCCCCACCCTACAGCCCTCTACTCCCTCAGGTCCCCCACCCTGTGGCCCTTTGCCCCCTCAGGCCCCCAACAAGGCGCTGGCCTCCATCCTGGGCAAGAGCAACCTGCGCTTCGCTGGCATGAGCATTGCTGTCAGCATCTCTACTGATGGCCTCAACCTCTCTGTGCCTGCCACACGCCAGGTGAGGGCCATGTGGCCTGTCCTCGGCCCCAGAAGGGCAGGCTCTGTGGACTCCCATGAGGTGAAGCCCGGAGGGATGGTGGGTGCAGGGCTTCATGTGACACGTTCACCTGGAGGTGAGCTGAGGCCCCACCCTGGAGCCCGGGAGGGATGCAGCCGCTGCCCTCACAGAGCCCCACAGCTGTCACCACTGGGGGTGCTCCTGGCACCTAGCGTGTACCTGTGTGTGTCTGTGTGTCTGTATGTGCCAGTCCCCTCCCTGTGGCCCTGGTCTAGTGCCCGCCCGAGCCTCAGGTCCCTGACCTCAGGACAGCCTGTGACCGCATGTGTCTCTCTGGCAGATCATCGCCAACCACCACATGCAGTCCATTTCCTTCGCGTCAGGTGGCGACACGGTAAGGGGCTGGGTGGGTGGCCTTGGCCTTCTCTGTCCCCTGCTTTGCTGGAGGTGGGCAGCCAGGAATCCTGGTCAGTGGGCCCAGGCAGGTCCAACCGGCCCCTCTCACCCATCCCCTCTCTCCCCAGGACATGACAGATTATGTGGCCTATGTCGCCAAGGACCCCATCAACCAGAGAGGTGAGGTCCAGTGGGTGTGGTGGTGGGGGGGCCCCGGTGCAGACCGAGTCAGCTGCCAGGCCACACTGATGCTGTCACAAACGACCCCCCCAGCCTGCCACATCCTGGAGTGCTGCGAGGGCCTCGCCCAGAGCGTCATCAGCACTGTGGGCCAAGCCTTCGAGCTGCGCTTCAAACAGTACCTGCACAGCCCCCCCAAGGTGGTCGTCCCCCCTGAAAGGTACCAGCCCCCACCTGCTCCTCCTGGGCTTGGGTCTACTCTGTCCCACCACCACCCCCCTGTGCTCCCTGCAAGCTCGTCACAGGATCCCCATTCCCTTGGCTGTAAAACCCAGGTAAAAGCAGCCCCTACTCCCTGGGCTGAGGTGAGGATTCAGGAGCCAGTCAGCGCTGCCGTCATTACTGTCATTGGTGCAGACAGGGGCAGTCAACGCTTCTGCAAAGGCCCAGACAGTCAATATTTTCAGCGTCTTGGCTGTTGTCTGTGAAAGCAGCTGTGGAGGGTAATAAAGCAATGGATGGGCTTCGTGCCAGCAAAACGGTATTTATAAACACCCAAATCCGAATTTCATGAACTTTCACCATGCCGCCAGATATTGTTCTTTGGATGTTTTCTTAACCATTTAAACGTTGTATGGCTCCTGGGCCGACCCCTGCTCTCAGCTACTTAAATACCTATTAATTGTTAGAAATTCAAATAAGCATACACTAAGGAAGAGGAATTCACAGTGCAGCGCGAGGCCTTTCCTGGGATGTGATGGCCTCTTTGCCTTTCTTATGGGTTTGCACATCTGTCACACGTGCCTGGTGGCTTTCACCTGCCATTGCTGGGCACCTGGAGCTGCTGCCGCCTCCATGGGCGGCACAGTCCTGCTCTGCTGCCCGAACTGGAACCTGTGCTTTGTGCCTGATTGAGGGGCAGGCGGTGGTCTCCCCAATTTTGCTCTTAGGAACCATGCTTACTTGAACGAGTGCTAGTGGGATAAATTTCTGCAGGTGCCACCACAGGGCCAGACGGTGAGGGCGTTTTAAATGCCGAGGGTGTCTCACCATCACGCACAGCAGGCATCCCGGTCCTGGGTGCAAGTCTGATGTGTCTTGGCTGCCTGGCCAGGCCAGAAGCAGATAGAAAGACGTGGAGACCACCTTTTCTGGGGACCTGCTGTAGCTGTGCCATGTCCCACTGTATAAAGGAGGGAAGAGAAAGACAGTACCCAGCAAGCGTTTCCTGGGTGAAGGCTCAGCGGATGGGAGGTGTGATCAGAGTCCCCTTGGGCCTGGCTTTTTCCACCCACCCCTCAGAGCTCCAGCCCCCAGGTCTTGGCGTCCCTGTTCCTTGTGCCCTGGGTACCGGTGTCCTTGCCTATGCTCCTGCTTGCTGTCTGTCTTCAGGCTGACCGGGCTGGAGGAGTCGGCCTGGGGGGATGAGGAGGACATGGAACACAATTACTACAACAGCATCCCAGGGAAGGAGCCGCCCCTGGGAGGACTGGTGGACTCCAGGCTCACCTTGACACAGCCCTGTGCCCTCGGGGCCCTCGGAGCTGTCAGCCAGGTCAGTGCCTATGGACTCATGGGGGAGGGACGGGAAGCTGTCCCCACGTGCTGACTCCTGGGCCTTGTCCCTAGCTCTTTCTTCTGTTCCTGTTCTCGATCCTAGAGGAGGGTCTCTCAGGCCCCCTACCCTTCCCTCCTCACCAGACTGCGCAGATCTGTTCTAGACCCTTCAGATGTATACACTGACATTGAGCAAATAATTATATCAGTGATTTAAGCAGGGCTGTGCAAAGGGCTTACAAGGAAGGTAACAAGAATGTACGAAGGGGAGACTGACTTGTCTGTGGTCAGGTGCACTTTCCTGAGGAAGCCGTGTTTGGGCTGGGCTCTGACGGGTGAATAGGAGTTGCCCAGGAGAGCAGTGCAGGGAAGGAGAGAATAGCATGTGCTGGGTGGCAGGAGGGTGCATGCAGACCACCTTCCGGAGGGGAGATGGCCTTATGAAGCTGTAGCAGAGGTGGGCAGTGGATGCGAAGCTGGGCCTGGTGGACACCCGGCAGTTGGAGAGCCAGGGCTTGGGGGAAGGGTTAGAGCAGCGGTTCTCAACCTGTGGGTCACGACCCCTTTGGGGGTCGAAAGACCCTTTCACAGGGGTCGCCTAAGACCATGGGAAAACACATACTCGGAGTATATAATTACATATTGTTTTTGTGATTAATCACTATGCTTTAAATATGTTCAATTTATAATAATGAAAATGCATCCTGCATATCAGATATTTACATTACGATTCATAACAGTAGCAAAATTACAGTTATGAAGTAGCAACGAAAATAATTTTATGGTTGGGGGTCACCACAACATGAGGAACTGTATTAAAGGGTCGTGGCATTAGGAAGGTTGAGAACCACTGGGTTAGAGGGTGTGAGCTGCGCTTCCCATCTGACTTATGTCCCCAGTGATTTAGGCAGATTGGGTGGGAATGCTGGGAGAGGGGCTTGCATATTGCAGGAGGAACCCTCACTTTCTTTTTCAGGGAGCATCTCCTCCTCGAAGAGACACCCACGGCCTGCACTGGGAGCTGGGCCCCTCAGGTAGGGTAGGGTGCCCTTGGGCCATAGGAGTGGCCCGGCCCCTCCCCCACTGGGTGCCTGGGTCCCCCTTCACCGAGTCTCTTCTCTGCATCATTTCACTTTCACTTGCGAGACTGTATTCACTCCACAAGCTCTTGTGAGATCTGACAGCATCAGTTTCTTTTTCTTTTTTCATGGAGGTTTCTGGCTTCTTCGGAAACTGGAAAGCTCTGGCCCCCTGGGCCGCTTTCCTGCCTGGCGGATGGGGGCAGGCTGGGTGGGTGGCTGTTCCCTCTGGCTCTCCCACCAGAGTAGGGACCTCTGGTGCCCCCCACCCCTGATTGGGTATCTTTGAGGTTTTTCGCTCTTATTGGTGCTGCTCAAATGGGCATGAGGCTTCCTTCTAGGAGTGAGATGGGTGTGGGTGGGGCTCCCAGGTTGGGTCCCCTCCTGCCCTCCTCTGTACTCTAGGGCCTCAGTGTTCCCCTGGCTCCACCAGCTGACCTCACCGTCCCTTCTATCCTCCCCAGCCCCGCCAGGGGATGGCTACGTGCAGGCAGATGCCCAGGGGCCCCGAGACTATGAGGACCACCTGTACGTCAACACGCAGGGTCTGGACGCCTCAGAGCCTCTGCAGCCCGAGGACAGCCCTAAGAAGGACCTGTTTGACATGCGTATGTGGGGACAAGCCATTCTGAGGGGGAGGGCCTTAGGGGGGAGGCAGCCTCCTCCCCTGGGGACTTCTCCCCCTGGGACTTTCCAAGTTGATGTTGGTGGGGTGGGAAGTCTGTTTGCTACGGGACCCCCTAGTCTGATAGGGAGGTGAGCCTCCCCCTCTGTGGGGCCCCAGTCTCTTGGGGGTAACACAGCTTCCTCTTTATGGGGGTCCCAGTCTGATGGAAGAGGCCTAGTTCATATACCTAGAAAGAGTGGCTAGTATGATGGGGGAGGCTCAGCCCCTTTTCTTTTGGGGGACTCTTCAGTCTGTTGGGGGAGGCCTAGCTCCCTACCATTGGGTCTGAGGAGGGATTTGAGCTCCATCCTCATGTGACTCTATGGTCTGAGGGAGGGAGGAGGCCCAAAACCATTCTGATGGGAATCCCAGCCTGATGGGGGAGGCACTGTCTGCTCTCTGGGGGATCCCTAGTCCAATGAGGGAGTCCTAATCAGGTCCTGATAGTCGATGGTAGAGCTTGTTCCTTCCTTCTGCCTGGGCCTGAGGGAGGGCTCAGTCTGATGGAGGAGGCTTGTGTACAAACACCCTTCTTATCTCCCCCACGGTCCCATCCTCTCCCACAGCACTGTGGGAGGTGTGGTCCCCATGTCGGCCGGCAGAGTGTCCCTCCTTCAGGACACCTCCCTAGTTGGCCTTCCTTGGGCACCTCCCAAGCCAGCTGGAAATTTCTTTCTTCAGTATTTGCCACCTGACAACTGGCTATCTTATTGCAATAATGACATGCGGTGGCTCTACTAAGCACCTCCGGTGAGCCAGGCACCGGACTAAGAGCGCAGCCCCACTGGCTCCTCACAACAATCCTCCGATGGGGAAGGAGCTGGATGTGAGCTCCTTGTGAGGCAGGCTGTCCCCTCTGGTCACCACAGAGCC